ATGTGTTCCATACTTGAGTCATCCTGATATATATTTCAGTGTTTAAAGACTTCATTTGGAAGTCCCACAGTAATGTGTCTGCTAATTGTGAATTGACAATGGCGTCAACGATTCCGTGAGGTCGACAGTTAAGTAATTAATGTTTTCTGTATGGACAGTGATAACTGTTGGGTGTAGGTCGAGCCATAACACCCCAGAACCCTTAATGCTTAGTCCACGTCGGTGGTCACATGTAGTCGCTGCCGGGGGGTCACCGCCCCCCCGGCTTGATCCCAGACCAGCTATGCAAGTAATTTCTTCCTGGCTTTCGTTTTTTCTTCGATTATGACTTTCAATTATGACTATTTATTAAGCTTCACATGCCCATGTAAAAAAATCAGAGCTGCATAGTTTTTTTTTTTTACGAATTTCCAACAAATAGTTTTGGGTGATATTTTTTTTGGTAATAATTACCAACAACTACTCGGTGAAATCCTGTCATTATTTTACAAATTTCTGTACTCAAGGGAGGGGGAGGGGGGTTGGAAGCTATCTGGTTGGAAGGGCGGTTACGAGACTTATTTTGAAGATAAGATAAGATTTCGTTCGGATTTTTAACCCCGGAGGGTTAGTCACCCAGTATAGCCCAAGGAAGTCAGTGCGTCATCGAGGACTATCTAACTTATTTCCATTGGGGTCCTCAATCTTGTCCCCCAGGATGCGACCCGCACCAGTCGACTAACACCCAGGTACCTATTTGCTGCTAGGTGAACAGGACAATAGGTGTAAGGAAACGTGTGGGAATGTTTTCTCCCGTCGGGAATCGAACCCGGGCCCTCCGTGTGTGAAGCGGGAGCTTTAGTCACTAGGCAACCGGACCACCTTGAAGCAGCGTTATTTTTACTGTTGTTATTGGGGGGCTTTGGAGAAGCTGAGAGAATTTTGGGGAAGTTTAAGGGGCACATTAGTTCCCCTGTCTTCTAATGTTATTTTTCCCCTATAATCTACATTGTCCTTAATTACTATCGCATTTGTTTGTCTCCTTTCGTAAGGTGAAGTTTAGAATCTTTCCTTAATTCCTGTGTTGCAAAGGTCTGATTATAGGGGAAAAATAACATGATATTAGGAGACAGGGAAACTGACGTGCCTCTTAAGTTAGCCTTCCAAACCTTCCCTCGGTGCCGCCACTGCTTCCAAGTAGCGCCAACGAGGTAATTTAGAATATATTATCTAATAAAATAGATGGGTAATAAGCTGTTCCAGTAATTTCTCAGAAAGAATAATGGGATATATTACATATGGCTACACTTGGTCTCGTCATTGTCATTCATCAGTGTGTCAGCGGGCCACCACATGACGACGCCAGTAGTTACCACTTGAAGCAATTAAGTTTACAACGTTTTGTCTTGATACTGCCACTCTCTCCTTGTTTAAATTATTTGTTCTTATAATGTTCCTCTTCTTTCTTTGTCCTAGACCCGTGTGTTGTTACACAAGTTTGTTTTTTCTCGGTCTGAATATCATCCTATTCCCATGAATATAATAATGGTCGACGAAATGTATGTAACATTTAAATCCAAAAGTGTGTATGAAAATTGACTGTTCTGTTTGCCACCAAGAAAGGTTAACCAAAGAAGGAAAAAGATTAACGATCCTACGGTCATCAGCTGTCTTGCTAGAAGGCAGGACAGACACGGATCTCTTTGAAAACAGTTTCCTGATCATGAAAAGCTAATCTTAGGTGTGATTTACATTATTATTATTATAATCAAGGGGGAAGCGCTAAACCCGTAGGATTATACAGCGCCCAGGGGAGGGGGGGATGTGGAAGGCATTCAGGCTTAATTCGGGGAACTGGAGCACAGATCCAATTCCCTAAATCAAGAGCCCCTCACCAACATCAAGGAACCTTCCATGAGGGGGGTGTGATTTACAGACATACAAACCTAAACAGCGACCACAGTAAGCTTCTGTGGGAAGAAATTGGTACGGCATCTAGACATGAAAATGCAATTTGAATTAATGGGAGTTTTTTAACTTTACCCAAATTGATTGGAGCCATTTGACAGGAAATCTAAGACTAGCGACTTCTTAGAAATAGTTCAAGACTTCTTGTACCACTTTATGTTAGAATCTATTTGAGGAATAACCTGCTGGCCTTGGTTCTGGCAAACAAGGTATGTCTGATAAATGATTTAGACGTTAACGATGTTTTAAAAAGCTATTACAAATAACTTAATTCAAATATCTCATGGAATTTCCTAAATAACGATGAGAAAGTCAAGGTCCCCAATTTTCGCTCTGCTTGTCTGAGTATTGAACACTGGGGCACCCTGACTGTTATTATTATTATTATTATTATTAGTAGTAGTAGTAGTAGTAGTAGTAGTAGTATCATCGTCAAATTAAGCGCTAGACCTGTAAGGGACACAGCGCTGACCAGGGATGATCATGAGTGAAACCGGAAAGACTGTGGTGATGGATGTCAGTATGACTTTCCAAAACATTGTATAAGGCATCCATGCTGCAAACATTGTATAAGGCATCCATGCTGCAAACATTGTATAAGGCATCCATGCTGCAAACATTGTATAAGGCATCCATGCTGCAAACATTGTATAAGGCATCCATGCTGCAAACATTGTATAAGGCATCCATGCTGCAAACATTCCTTATAGAGAAATTAGATCAAATATAAATGATCCTAAATGAACAACAAACTGAAGCATCGCTTGGGTAAAAAGAGAGATACTGGCAAATCAAAAGAGGAAACTCGCATCACAATCCAATGTATTTAAGACAAGACAAAAATAAATAAAAAAAAGGAATAAGGAAAGCCAAACGAGAATATACAATTAAGGTTGTGAGGGGAATCGAAAAAAAAAACCAGAGGGTTTCTTACAGGTGCAGAGGATTAAGATTAAGGAAAAGACAGGCCTACTTAAATGTAACTCAAGTCAGGTTACTGTGAGTGATAAAGAAATGTATACCATTTTTTAAGACTATTTCTCCCTATTTTAATACAAGAAAATATAAATGAAATTCCAGGTGATCAACGATTAATCGTTATACAGGTCAGGACGAGAATAAATAATCGAAGATCAAAGTCACTAGTGACAAGATTCTAAGACACCTTGATAGATTGAAACCAAACAAGTCACCCGGTCCTGATGAGCTGTTTTCAAGGATTCTAAAAGAATGTAAAGAGGAACCTAGCAAACCATCAGCTTGTCTCTTCAAGATATCACTATAAACGGGTATCGTATTGAATAACTGGAAAACAGCCAGTACGATACCTGTTTACAAGGCGGGAGATAGGTCCTTAGCTTTAAATTATAAGACAATCAGAATATCCTCAAATCTAGGAAAGTTGATAGATTCAGTAACTGCTGATGTAATTCGAAGCCACATTGAAAGATATAATTTGATCAATAAATCTCAGGACGGTTTTACAAAAGGGCGTTCTTGTATTACAAATTTGCTATCCTTTTTCACTAAGGTATTTGAAGTGGTATGCATAGATAAAGAATACAATATTGTGTATATGGTCTTATAAAGCCTTTGACAGAATTCACCACAGGAGACTGATGAAGAAAGTAGCGGCACATGGTGTAGGAGGAAAAATTATTTGGTGGGTTGAGTCATAGCTGACCCACAGGCAACAGAAAGCGTGTATAAACTGAAAGAAATCAGAATTGGAACCCGCTACAGATGGTGTGTTGCAGGGGTCAGTATAGGGGCCCCTGGTTCACAATCTACGTTAACCACAGAGATGAAAGAATAAATAGTGACTTAAGTAAGAGTGCCGGTGATACTAAAATATGCTTTCAGATAATTTCTGATGAAGACACTTGAAGGCTACAGGATGACCTGGATAGGTTTACGTTGTGGTCAGAGAAGTGATACCTGTAGTTCAATGCGGACAAATGTACGGTTCTAATCCTGGGAAAAGAAAATAACCATGGTACATATGAACTAAATGTATTAGCAGAAACCTTTCCTGTGAAGCTAGACTGACGACACTGAATTTACATTCTGGAACAAGGGGGTATAGGGGATATGACTGACGTATACAAATGGAAAACAGGCATAAATAAAAGGGATATCAACGTGGTGGAAGTATCTAACCAAGACAAGATTCAGCGTAGGATTCAAGCTGGACAGATTTAGATTTAGAAAGGATATAGGGAGGTACTGGTTGGCAGTAGTTGTGATGAGGGCAGCTTTAATTAAATATACGTTGGGTGGGTACATGAGTCTGTGTGAATTAAACCTGTCTAGAATATAAGGAAGTTGTGGTATAGCAGTAGAGTTGCAGATGACTGGAACAAACTCTCAGGTAGCGTTATTCAGGCAACAACATTGGGTAACTTTAAATATAAGTTGGACTGATACTTAGTATGAGTTGATGTACGTGGGTGTGAGTTGAACTTGCTTAGATGGGCCAATAGACCTACAACAGTGTTCCATCATTCTTATGTTCGTAAGTATACTCAGGGGTCAACGCCCCCGCGACCCGGTCTGTGACTAGGCCTCAGATATTAAAATGTAAACGACACTGAACTTCAAGATCTTTCTGTGTGCAAGCACTATATTTTCCTCTTTCAGAATTAAGAGTCCCACTAACCGATTTTCCCTGAATCTAGTAATAAACGTTTGAACATCCAGAATTTTTTTTTAAGCTGGTGCATGTTACTGTGGCAAGATGAAATTATTCATAAATGCCCTCTAGATTCCACAAGTGTCCCTAGGTTGACTTAGCATATGATGGATGAAGATGGTGGTAGAGATGCAGGACACCATCAGTTAATTAAGATCCCAGTCTAGCTGGAGTGTTATAGTGTGTATGTCAAAATCAGTTCCAGCACGAGGTAAAAAGTGTGTTGTGTTTAGCACTATTAAAATATATAGTACACACACACACACACACACACACACACACACACACACACACACACACACACACACACACACACAGGGCGAAAGGTGAGAAATGGGTAATTGATATAACTCTCACACAGGGCAGCGACACCAATGAGATAGAAGCCATCAACTTCCTGCGTGAGTATGACAAAGAGGCATCTACCATGTGCACCCGCTTCATGGAGGCCAGCTGGGACTTCAACACTAACGTCACGGAAACCAACAGGCGTAAAATGGTCAGTCACTTGTCTTAACTCTTCCTCTGCTTTTATTCTTCACTTCTTCCTACCTTCGTTTTTCCCTGTGTTTTACTTCTGTTTCTTTTACTCTACCTTCCACTACAACCACTTAACTGTTGCATCTGCTGTTGCTACTTATTTTCTTACATAAAACACCTCACCCGTTTTACCCGTTGTTTATTAAATTATTTTATTAGTGATAGTACTGTTCCTTTAGTATGATCTCTTTACTCTTAATACTGATCCTTCAGTATGACCTCTTTACTCTTAATACTGATCCTTCAGTATGATCTTCACTGTTAGTACTGTTCCTTTAGTATGATCTTCACTGTTAGTACTGTTCATTCAGTATGATCTCTTTAGTGTTATTGTCTGTGTTCTGTTAAAAACAACTCTTACCGTTTTCTTTGCTGTGGTCAGGAATAATTTATGGTTGGGTAACATGTTTGTATATGCGGTTCATGGCATTTCAATAAAATGCCATAAACCGCACATTGTATATAATATCAGTCATATACATATTTTGACGGTGGAATAAGTTAATGCCTTCCGTTGTTGTTTTGGTGAGATTCATATACTGTTGTAGCTGATGCAACTCACTGGCTGTTACCACGACAGACTTTTTCTTTTATATTGGTGATCTTAGTCTACTGTAGCAAGTGCTTGTAAAAAAGTCTTCGAGTGTCCACACTTTTTTTTAATATGTCTCGTTTATCGTTGTACTTGTTCAATTTATTTGGTTATAGTTTCGGTTATCGCTGCTCCTGAGGCTCGATCTCAAGTCTGGTGTTTTGGTTGATCTGGCTAGTCAGGGTTAATTAGTGTAACCGGAGAGGTACAGAGTACCGACACGATGAATGGTAAGACATAACAGTAGTATGGAACACTTTATAATAGCTTTCCGTTACGCAGGAGTTTTATCAACTTAATAAAGTTTCTGCGGGAACATAACGTCGTTGTTATGAAATGTTCCATACTGTTTTTGTGTCCCATTAGATATTCCCGTTAAGTGGTTGGCGATATTTTTTCTTCCTTCAGAGTTTTCGTGTAACTTGAAAACTTTTGATCCGATTAGCTTCTGATTATAACTAAGGAAAGATTCATGCAACTGTTGGTTAAGCTGATCAAGTACTGACTGTAGGAACTTTGCCAAGATCCATCTTGAAGACAGTTAGGGTGTACTGGTAATTTCCCTTATAGGTTATTATTACAAAATTCTTGGTGAAAGCCTTTAAACCGTAAAGGTAATATAGCGCCTGGGAAATGGGAGATAATCAGGTTTGATGCAAGGAAGAGGAAGGTAGCTGCAGTTCCTTGAAGGTACAGAACCTTATAGCATCACATATAATGACTTCATCACCCGAGTGGTTAATAAGGCTGGGTGCTCCACCAACAACCTCCAGGAGGTAAGGAAGGTGCGGCTGATGTTAATGTTGAAAAACTCTTGATCAAGTTAATTTGAAGCAACTCTTAACTTCCTCGGATCAAACCCCCACCTCCTCTGACCTACTCCTCAGATGCTGACCCTCAACTATTTAGCGTATGAGTCATCACCTGGCCTCTAATTAAAAAGTTCGTGTTTCAACGCGTTACAATACATCAATTTCTGTACTAAGCCGCAGTAAAAGATGTCAGGTTACTTTAGCCTTATTAACCTATATTTGTGCATATTTAATTGTCATTAACTATATTTCGTAAAAAGAGGAAAATAACATCTGACAGCGGTTAATGACATCATCGTCGCTTAAATAGCAGGAAAAAACACGCTCGCTATTTACTAGTCATTAAGGCTGCACATAATCTTTTTCTCACCTGCCATTAATACTTTAATCCCTAAAATATAAATTAAATTATCTGAGTATATATATCTCAGTGAGCAATTACTAGGATATATAGGAAATATGTCTTGGTGTTTACTCACGTATTATTTGTGAGGGTTATATCACACCTCAGTGTATATCCAGTGGCTGAGTGTACCAGTTCAAAACTTATGTACACCCAGAGGTGCATCTCCAGTGAATGAGGCGAGGAAACACGGCCAGGAGTGTCCAGTGAGAGGTGAGGAAACAACCATGAATGTCCAGTGAGTGAGGAAACACAGCCATGAGTGTCCGGTGAGTGAGGTGAGGAAACAGCCATGAGTGTCCGGTGAGAGGTGAGGAAACAACCATGAGTGTCCAGTGAGAGGTGAGGAAACAGCCATGAGTGTCCAGTGACAGGTGAGGAAACAACCATGAGTGTCCTGTGAGAGGTGAGGGAAACAACCATGAGTGTCCAGTGAGAGGTGAGGAAACAACCATGAGTGTCCAGTGAGGTGAGGAAACAACCATGAGTGCCAAGTGAGAGGTGAGGAAACACAGCCACGAGTGTCCGGTGAGTGAGGTGAGGAAACAACCATGAGTGTCCAGTGAGAGGTGAGGAAACAACCATGAGTGTCCAGTGAGAGGTGAGGAAACAACCATGAGTGTCCAGTGAGAGGTGAGGAAACAACCATGAGTGTCCAGTGAGAGGTGAGGAAACAACCATGAGTGTCCAGTGAGAGGTGAAGGAACAGCCATGAGTGTCCAGTGAGAGGTGAAGAAACAGCCATGAGTGTCCGGTGAGAGGTGAGGAAACAACCATGAGTGTCCAGTGAGAGGTGAAGAAACAGCCATGAGTGTCCAGTGAGAGGTGAAGAAACAACCATGAGTGTCCAGTAAAGAGGTGAGGAAAAACCATGAGTACCCGGGTGAGAGGTGAGGAAACAAACATGAGTGTCCAGTGAGAGGTGAAGAAACAGCCATGAGTGTCCAGTGAGAGGTGAAGAAACAACCATGAGAGTCCAGTGAGAGGTGAGGAAACAACCATGAGTGTCCAGTGAGAGGTGAGGAAACAACCATGAGTGTCCGGTGAGGGTGAGAAAAAAAACCCCATGAGTGTCCAGTGAGAGGTGAGGAAAAAACCATGAGTGTCCAGTGAGAGGTGCGGAAACAACCATGAGTGTCCCGTGAGAGGTGAGGAAACAGCCACGAGTGTCCGGTGAGTGAGGTGAGGAAACAACCATGAGTGTCCAGTGAGAGGTGAGGAAACAACCATGAGTGTCCGGTGAGAGGTGAGGAAACAACCATGAGTGTCCAGTGAGAGGTGAGGAAACAACCATGAGTATCCGGTGAGAGGTGAGGAAACAAACATGAGTGTCCGGTGAGAAGTGAGGAAACAACCATGAGTGTCCGGTGAGAGGTGAGGAAACAACCATGAGTGTCCAGGGAGAGGTGAGGAAACAACCATGAGTGTCCAGTGAGAGGTGAGGAAACAAACATGAGTGTCCAGGGAGAGGTGAGGAAACAACCATGAGTATCCGGTGAGAGGTGAGGAAACAAACATGAGTGTCCGGTGAGAAGTGAGGAAACAACCATGAGTGTCCGGTGAGAGGTGAGGAAACAACCATGAGTGTCCAGTGAGAGGTGAGGAAACAACCATGGGGGCCCAGTGAGAGGTGAGGAAACAACCATGAGTGTCCAGTGAGAGGTGAGGAAACAACCATGAGTGTCCAGTGAGAGGTGAGGAAACAACCATGAGTGTCCAGTGAGAGGTGAGGAAAAACCTTTGAGTGTCCGTGAGAGGGTGAGGAAAAAAAACCTGAGTGTCCAGTAAAGGAGGTGAGGAAACAACCATGAGTGTCCGGTGAGTGAGGTGACAAAACAACCATGAGTGTCCAGTGAGAGATGAGGAAACAACCATGAGTGTCCGGTGAGAGGTGAGGAAACAACCATGAGTATCCAGTGAGAGGTGAGGAAACAACCATGAGTGTCCGGTGAGTGAAGTAACAAAACAACCATGAGTGTCCAGTGAGAGGTGAGGAAACAACCATGAGTGTCCGGTGAGAGGTGAGGAAACAACCATGAGTGTCCGGTGAGAGGTGAGGGAAACAACCATGGTGTCCAGTGAGAGGGGAGGAAAAAACCATGAGTGTCCGGTGAGTGGGGTTTGAAAAAACAACCATGAGTGTCCAGTGAGAGGTGAGGAAACAACCATGAGTGTCCGGTGAGAGGTGAGGAAACAACCATGAGTGTCCAGTGAGAGGTGAGGAAACAGCCATGAGTGTCCAGTGACAGGTGAGGAAACAACCATGAGTGTCCTGTGAGAGGTGAGGGGAAACAACCATGAGTTTTCCAGTGAGAGGTGAGGAAACAACCATGAGTGTCCAGTGAGAGGTGAGGAAACAACCATGAGTGTCCAGTGAGAGGTGAGGAAACAACCATGAGTGCCAAGTGAGAGGTGAGGAAACACAGCCACGAGTGTCCGGTGAGTGAGGTGAGGAAACAACCATGAGTGTCCAGTGGAGGTGAGGGAAACAACCATGAGTGTCCAGTGAGAGGTGAGGAAACAACCATGAGTGTCCAGTGAGAGGTGAAGGAACAGCCATGAGTGTCCAGTGAGAGGTGAAGAAACAGCCATGAGTGTCCGGTGAGAGGTGAGGAAACAACCATGAGTGTCCAGTGAGAGGTGAAGAAACAGCCATGAGTGTCCAGTGAGAGGTGAAGAAACAACCATGAGAGTCCAGTGAGAGGTGAGGAAACAACCATGAGTGTCCAGTGGAGATGAGGAAAAACCATGAGTGCCCCGGTGAGGGTGAGGAAACAACCATGAGTGTCCAGTGAGAGGTGAGGAAACAACCATGAGTGTCCAGTGAGAGGTGAGGAAACAACCATGAGTGTCCGGTGAGAGGTGAGGAAACAACCATGAGTGTCCAGTGAGAGGTGAGGAAACAACCATGAGTGTCCAGTGAGAGGTGAGGAAACAACCATGAGTGTCCAGTGAGAGGTGAGGAAAAAAACCATGAGTGTCCAGTGAGAGGTGAGGAAACAACCATGAGTGTCCAGTGAGAGGTGAGGAAACAGCCACGAGTGTCCGGTGAGTGAGGTGAGGAAACAACCATGAGTGTCCAGTGAGAGGTGAGGAAACAACCATGAGTGTCCGGTGAGAGGTGAGGAAACAACCAGGGAGTGTCAGTGAGA